TATTATTATTATTGAGTTTTTATTTCACAAACTCAGAAGAAATGGTTTTTATGAATTACTCCTTGTGGTGCAATTTGCACTCTCAGATTGTACCCCACTTTTAAGTGTATCTCACAGAAAGAGAGAAAGAGATAGAAAAAAAAAAAATAAATAAAAGAGTAAAAAGGGAAGTGTACGGTGGGTAGTTTTTTTTTTTTTTTCTGGGTGAGGATATTATTATTATTTTTTTACGGTTTTCTTGACTTTTTCTAGTCCTCCTTGCTGAGAGATGCCTTCTCTGTTGATGTCATTAATTAAGTTGTAGTGAATAGTCTTTTTCTTCTTTCTTTTTTTTTTCCTGATATTAGTATCTGATTATATATATATATCTTTATATATATATATATATATTTTTTTTGTTTTTGTTTTTGCGAAACCGCTCTTTTGGTTTCCTGCTGAGGTCTTGTAAAAAAAGATCAACAAGCTGAGAAAAAAAAAAAAAAAGAGAAACGATAGGAAGCACATAAAGAAAATATTATCGTAAAGAAGTAAGAAATAGTAGGAAAACCAAATAAAAAATAGAAAACAATAACAACAACAGTTAAACATTGATGAAACGATTATTGAGTGCTGGTTTATTTATTAAGTTGCTTTTGCTCTTGCATCTGCTTCTCGCTGCCACGACGGAGGCTGGTTTCTTCACCAAGTCTGAGAGTAAAGACTTATATGCAGTTCTTGGGATTACACGATCGGCTACAAAAGAAGAGATTCGAAAGGCATTCCGCAAAATTACACGTGAACATCATCCGGATCTGCAGGAAACACCAGAAGCAAAGGAGGCGGCAAAGGAATATATGGTAAAAGTCCTCGCAGCGTATAATATCCTTACGGATGATATTAAACGTCAGGATTATGATAGTTTTGGGAAGATTCCTGGTGAAGATCTTAATCCAACAGAACATTCAGCCCAGGAAATATTTGAATATTTTCATCAACATTTACCTATTCTTTCTAAAACAGAACAAATGGAATCTGTACGATCAGCAAAACAAATTTTGAATTTTCGTGGTAATCGTCTTTTTCTAATACAAGTATATGATGATACCTGTCGTGCATGCCGTTGGTTTGGGCCAACGTGGGATAGTTATGCGCATTCTAATCTTGTAGAGGCTGGAGTTGTAGAGATGTGGCGTATTGATGCCTATGCCCCTGAGGGAGAAGAACTGTTGAATACATTTGGTATAAAATATATGTCTGATGTACAAGTATTTGCTATTATTGATGGGGAAAAATGGCATATGAGAGAATTAGAAGCGGCAATAAAGTCACAAAGTAATCAAGCTGCCTTTACCGCATTAGAGCAGTTTGTTATGGGGTTCTTCTATGATAAACATAAAGAGGTATATGCATTAAATACAGAGACTGGGTTAGAGTCTATTCTCAAATGGTTAAAGGAAGATCGTAAAAGTACAGATATTGTACGTGTAGTTGTACCTCCCCTTATGGGAGACTCTCTTGTTCTTGCCTTATCTATTGTGTACGATGGTCTGGCAGAGTTTCGTATAGTGCCAAGAGGAATATTAATTGATTTTATTGAAGGATATTGTGAACAGCCAGTAGAAGTACGTGACCGTAATGGTGAAATTGTTCCTATGCCAGAGTTTCTCGTTGTTTCTACAAAACAGCTTCCAAATATATCGGTTGTAACGAATGCTACTAATACTACTCCTGGTGATTCTCCCCTACCAGAATCAACAACAACAACAACAACAACAACAACAGGGGAATCTCGTGAAACTGGAAGTTGTAGAGGAGTTGTTGTTGGGGCAAGTGCGGCACTCACATACCGTAAAGCTTCTGCTTTTGTAAAAGATTCCTTGCCGTTACAACACCAAGGAATGGCAAACATCACATATATTACAAGTATGTCTTTTCAGAAGCTTTGTAAACGACACTGTCTGATGTGGCTTCGTGAAAACTGTAATGAGATGCCAAGTAAGACATGGTTAGATGCTCTACAAGGTGACTATAAACCATTTCTAGTGGGATATATTTGCCTAAATAGTGAACCTAACCTCCGAAAGATTCTACCAACTATGGAAAAGAATACGCTTGCTGCTATAATAGATGGTGATGATGAGAATATATATCTTTTGCGTACTAATATGGAACGACGGAGTATTTCGGAAGCATTATCAGACCTTCTAAAAGAGGAACATAATAGCAATCCACTTCATCTGGAGAGACCGTTTTCATTATTGCTAACATCAAATCCTTTTTTTCTATCCCAAACGCAGTACTGGTACTTGTCTCTAAAATCTGTTATCGACTTTGTTAAACCATTTTTTTCAAACTCCTATCCATTTTTGGTGATGTATATCGCTCACAAATTGTCTAATAGATTCAATTTGTTGGGTAATAATGACAATAATAATAATAATAATAATAATAATAATAATAATAATAATAATAATAATAGAAACGGAAACGGAAACACACAACGTTCAGAATCATCTAACCCCAATACTAATAACAATAGCAGTAACAATAATAACAAAACGAGTGCTGGTTCTACTGCTACTAAAGCATCTGAAGAAAAACTGCATCTTTATAGCAAAGAGGATTTGAAGGCAGCTAAAGATGGAAGGGGATTTCTCCTGCTGATTTTTCAGCACAATATGGAGACTCCAACTATTTTACCTGACATAGCAAGGGATTCACGATTCACTATTCGTCTGGTGTCTTTTGCAGATCCAGAATGGAACACATGGCTCTCACAACACTCAACAGATAGTACGGACTTATCATTAAAAAATAGCAGTGAATCAGTTTTGGTCGCTTTACGAAAAGGAAAAATGAAGGCTACCATAAAATCACCTCGTGCCTCAATAGAATCGTGGTTAATGGATCTTCTTGATGGTACTGTCACAGCTAACATACCTGTGTCCTTTTAAAGTGAGTTCTTATCTATGGATTTATCGGTGTAGCTATTAAACGTTTCTGAATGATTTATTTTGTTGTACCCATTTTGTTCACTGAGTTGTAAGACAATAAAGAAATTAAGGAAGGATAAAGAAAGAAAGGAAAAGACACCCTCTTTTTTTTTTTTCGCTTTTTCTCTCTTTTCACGGTAATTCTGATTCTTTTGCACATATATACGTATAGATGTATATATGATGTGTATACCTCTTCTTCTCTTTCTCTTTTTTTTTTTTTTTCTCTCTCTCTCTCTCTCTCTTTTTATTTATTTAATGTTTTTTTTTTTTTTTATGCAGTAGTGAAAGACTCTCTGTTGTCATAGCTGACAGATGCGCACACCTGAGAGTGGCACGGCTGCCGTCTACGCCCGGGCGGAGGAGGCGCGTTGTGGGGGTTTGGGTGTTCGCCAAGTGCCGTCGTTTGAGTTGTACAAATGTGCGCGGGAGGAGGAGCTCGGGTGCTACCGGGCCCTCTGCCGGGTGTACGCGATGCACACTGGCGGGGCCCTCAGCCGCCAGCAGCGGCGGGTCCTCGAGGACTTGCAGGAGGACCTCCACATCCCACCGGCCCGCGCCGCGGCGGAGTGGCAGGCCGCCACCGCAGACGCCGTCGTCAAGGGAATCGCCAACTCGGGGATTCTCCGCCGCCGAGAGGACTTCTTCGACGGCGTGAAGGATATTCCATTCGATAGCCCTAGTAATAGTAATAATAATAATAATAATAATAATAATAATAATAACAGTGCACAGTCGGCGATGTTTGGCTACGCCCAGGATGATCGAGCCACGCTCTACTTGCCACACACGAAGGTAGCACGTACAGAGCAGGAAGTGGGAACAGCAGGTGGGGGAAACATCGCAGGACGGCGAGGGGCACCCCAGAAAATTTCAAATGCTGTACTTCTCAAAACTGTAGAAAAAATTGGGCATGAGATTTCAGTTATAGGTAATAAGCTGCTCTACGCTGTCTCCGAAGCTGACCAAGAAACGTATAGAGACGCCCTAATGACAAAGAGGGAAAAACTGCAGGCACTCTTAAAAGATGTGGAAGGTAACACAGGAGATGCATCAGGAAATTCCAGTGTCATTTATTCTGAACATGTATCCTGATGTGTTTATTTTCTTCTCATGTGGATATATTGTGCTCGTGGTGAAGCGCGTTTTGGTGTTTCATTCATCTCTTTCAACTTTTCGTTTATTCGCCATCTGTACAGAACAGTTAGCTCTGCAAGGGATCATGAATACACACACACACATATATATATTCAAAAGAAAAAAAAAAAAAAAAAACACTTGCAAAAACATATACACGATAGAGTATTGAATGCAAATGTTCTACTTGTGGGATTTGAGAAGTCTGTTTCTTCTTCTTGGCCCCCTAATCCTTCTTTTTTTCTTTCCTTCTCCTTATCAGAAATTTTGTCCTACAGGTTCTTCTGTCTTTTTTTTTTTTCTTTTCTTTGTATTTGTGTGTGTATGAGTGTTGATGCATTCTTTATTTCTCTCACTTTTTTTTTTTGGTATGTCCTTTTTTGTGTATAAGGGCATAAAAACTCTCTATATTTTGCTTTTTATTTAGTTTTCCTTCCTATGCAAAGAATTTATTCTGTTTTTCATTTATGTTGAAAGTAAGGTTGGACTCAGGATGCAATCTGCCCGTCATATACGTGGACGTGGTATAGTTCGATGTCGGCGTAAACAGTATCAGGGAGTACGCATGGCTGCACAGTTTCTTATGCCACTCTTAACTAATTCCCAGTTGTTAACTCCCTCTTCAACATGTTCCTACCAACGGCGCGAGAAAATACTGGATGCACTAATGGGTGTACCGTCTTCATTGGGGCATGAGGGACCTCTTAACTATACACATTTAACTGCCTTCATGTCCCTCCAAATGGGAGAATTGTTGGACATGCTTGAGGGTCCATATATGGAAGCAGTTGCACCACCTCCTTCAACACACGTAGCCGAGATGTGGTCTTCATCATTGCAGGAATGTTATATCCATGCGGTACTTCATGAACGCTCAGTGGAGAGCGCGAGTGAGGAAAAAAAAACGCGACCTCTCCGATATGAGGCTGGATTAGTTGCCCAGAACTTATTTGCTGATACACTGTACGGCATAAATACTAATAAAAATTTTCTTTCTTCTGGGGGTGGTACCGGTGAAACTACGAGAAGGAAAGAGACGTGTGAATCTCGGCTAACATCATGTAAAACACTTCATTTAACTCATAGGTGGCGCCAACTAATTGACGAGTACACATTAATGCTTCCTGATCGCTCTCCATTACATGAATTGGAAAATCTTCCACAAGAAGTGGGTATAGGTGAGTTACTATCCTCTCTGTTCACCTCTTTTGACGAGGGCGAGAGTGAAATAAAAACTATTGTAGATGTAGGCGGTGGTAACGGCTTCCTCGCGGCACAGTTGGCAGACCGCTTAAAGTGTGAAAGCATTGTGGTTGATCCCTTTACGCCAAAACATTCCATTGATAATGAAGATTTCCCACATTGGGTAAATTCACCGAGACAGCGACCGCGCACTTTTCGTCGCTACCCACTTCGTCGCATTCCGCTACGCCTCCCTGAAGTGGACTGGAACAGTACAAATGTCAACTTTGATAGATGTGCTTTAGTAGCAAAGCACCTCTGCGGTACTGCTATCGATGAGTGTTTGCGTCACCTACAGGATCTTGGAAAACTTCCACGTGTAGTGGTGGTTGTCCCATGCTGTTACAATAAAGGATGTTACGATCAATACTGCAACGTCAAATACCTTAGCAACACCGCCAACATTAGCAATACAGATATGTGGAACCGATGGACACCTCTATCGGATTGGAATTACTCATGTAACCAATGCAACATTAATTATAATTCCAGTACATTATCATGTAGAACACATATGAAGGAACACACATCTTGGAAAAAAATGAAAAATATCTTGCCTTGCATGGATGAGATCGCCTCAGTGATTGCGGCAATTGTCAACTATGGACGTGTATTATGGCTCCAAAACGCAGGATACAAGGCATACACCGTTCAATATGTCCCTCGCTGTGTAACTCCGAAAAACTGCGCCATTGTAGCAGTACGCCAGTGTTAGCTACACATATACCACACGTAGTCACATCTACCTTATTCCCCCACCTTTCCCACCCACCCACACACACACACACATAACAGCAAAAAGAAGATTATAGACGCCTATTTACACTTAACATTATTTATGATACCATTAACAACTCCTCAGTAAAAAGAATATACTAGAAATATATTTCTTGCACCTTAGTTTTATTCTTATTTGCGTAACACACACTTTTCCCATTATTCTTTGTAGATCGTAGAACATAATTAGCTTCAAATATAGAAAGTCATAATGCATCGCCAAAGACCTAGAAGGAATAGAGTTACGACATGTCTTATACTCGTGTTGTGCTTTCTTTTAATAAAAAATCTAACAGACATAGTAATATCACAAAAACAAGCACATAACCACGAGGTGCCGCTGAACACCAAAGAGGAGCTACATGTTAACAATAAAAAGGACCACTACGACTACCGCATCTTTGTGTTCACATATGCAAGGCCAGAAGGACTTCGCGTGACGCTGTCATCTATACTGAACTCAGACTACTCCAAGGCTCGTGGCAGCACAATTGACCTGGAGGTGTTTGTGGACTATAGGCGTGACGATGGGGAGTCCATAAAGAATAAGCAGGCTGAAATCCTTGATATTCTCAG